AAAAACACCGCAAACTGGATTCATAACACAAACCATGAGCAAAAAAACCCACCCCAGCAAGTTGGGCTGTGCCCTTTCCCTTGGGTTCTTGAAACCAGCAACCCAAGGATCACCAAAGTCCCAAAAGTCCAACAACCCCCCAAAGTCTCTGTCCCTGGTCAGTGCAGCCCCAGAGTTCGGGGGGAGGGGGGCATGCAGGGTGTTAAGGGGCACCTTACGTGATCCGAGGCCGACAGGGTTCCGCCGCAGCCTTCACCACGAGCCGCTCCACTCTACCAGCTGTCCCGTGAGCTGCTCCCGCTGTCCCACGAACTGCTCTGGCAGCTGCTCCACTCTGCTCACCGACCTGTGAGCCGCTCAACTCTGCTCCACTTCAGCAGTCCCTTGGGCCACTCCCACAAGGCTCCGCTCTGCTCTGCCAGCTGCTCCTCCAGCCGCTCACCGACCTGTGAGTCGGTCAGCTCCACTCTACTAGCTGCTCCGCCAGCCGCTTAGCAATATAGCTTCAGGCTCCCCCACTAGTTAACACAGCCTCAGTGATCTCAGCTCTTTTGTGATTTCAGCTCAAGGTAGGGGAGCCCCAGTGCTAGTGCACCATTGGCCCAAAGTGAATTCAGCTCAGCAGTCTGTAACTAGACTTCTAATGGAATCAAAGTTAGCTCTGATATTCAACAGTGGAGAGAGGAGGTAGTGCAATTGGTGTTTCAACCCCTCAGAGAGGGCCTATACCATCAGGTACAAATACCTGTCCCCATCCTCTCTCCCTTTGCTGGGTTTTGTAACCCATGCCCCTTGTCAAGCAAGTGCTACTTAGGTAATGGTGAAGGACTCACTCAGTCCTTCTGTCATACAACAGTTTCACTGCCCTGGATTCACAGAATCAGGGTAACAAAACTTTATTCTTCCTGCCCCAATAACAGAGAAGACTGGGGATCCCACACCAGCCAAAGTAACCACTTTGAGTTGCTGTTGTTTCATGCCAGGCGAGTGGGTGTGCCTATGCAAACAAGATCAGCCCCTGGAGTTCTTTTCCACACTCGCCATAATTCACCACCAGATGTCAGGGTAGAGCTCATCCTGACTCTGCTTACACATATATATTAAAACACTGGGTGACCAACTGCACACCTCAATAGATGGCCCAGGAATCTTCTTGTTCTGCAAAATAGCTATCAGATCCAGAAAAAAGGAGAAAGAAGCAGAGAAGCAACCTGAGCTGTTTAGGAGACATGCTCCCTGCAATCTGCCTTCTCAATCTTATCTCAAGCTGCATGTACTCATAGACAGATTCTGTGGAGAGTTTGGTCAATAGGAGTGGAAAGGTCGTGAAAGGCACAGTACCCATACTGTATCTAAGGCTGCTTAGAGTCACTTCAACATATGCAAGTGAGTTAAATAGAATAACAAATAACAAGCTTTCCAAAACTGCACTCTTCATCAAGATACAGTAATTCCTCACTTACAGTCGCCCTGGTTAACATGGTTATGTCGCTGATCAATTAGGGAACATGCTCGTTTAAATTTGTGGAATGCTTTCTTCTAATGTCGTTTGGCAGCTGCCTGCTTTGTCCACTGCTTGCAGGAAGAGCAGCCCATTGGAGCTGGTGGGGGGGGGCTGGGACCCAGGGGGGCCCGGCAGCCCCCCTATCCGCTCCCCGTTTCCCTAAGTTCCCTGTGCTGCAGCCACCCAGCAGGCTACCAATCAGCAGTTCAGCTGTCCCTCCCCCGACCTGCCATGTGCTGCTCCTGCCCTCTGCCTTGGAGCTGCTCCCCGAGCCTCCTGCTTACTGTGCAGGGAAGGGGAAAAGGGGGGGCGTAATGTCAGGGTGTCCCCCTGCACCCCACTTACCCCTTCTCCATATAGAGCAGGGAGGGGACACGGATGGAGAGAGACAGAGAGAGCTTGGGGCAGCTGTGTGTATATCTATATAATATATAGTTTTTTGTCTGGTGAAAAAAATTTCCCTGGAACCTAAACACCCCTCCTCCCCCATTTACATTAATTCTTATGGGGAAATTGGATTCGCTTAAAATAGTTTTGCTTAAAGTCGCATTTTTCAGGAACATAACTACAATGTTAAGTGAGGAGTTACTGTACACACAACAGGTATGTTGCTCCACAGTTACATTAATGTACATTGTGGCTTTTTGCTTAACCATGTGCCTCAAAGCCACTGTTTTACTAAAGAGGTTTTCTGAGGCTTAACCTTTTATTCTTAAATATTTTCTGATTTATATTTCTGCTCAATAAAAATAGCCCCCACCCACTATTAATTTGCACTTTATTTTTAAAAATCCATGGGACTGATCATCCCCTAAATCCACATGCTATTAATGCTAATAGGGCTAAGTATGTGTGTCAAGGAAAGTTAGACCCTCACATTTAGAAGAATGTCATCATGCCGATTTTAAAGTGGGGAGGTTGACAGTGAATGTTCTTTGTGAAAGGTGCCCCTGCTACTGAAGTCCTCTATCTACAGAACAGGTACCATAGGTTTGATCCTTTTGCTTGGTGGAACTCCGGATGCTGACAGTTGTGGGAAGTTCTGCTTGAACTTGCTGAGCAACCATATCTCCTTCCGTCCTCTGCACACTTCTGCAGTGTTGGGTGTGCGCAGACCATCTCTGCAATGTAGCGGCTGTGTGCCCGTAGCTCTTCTCTCTGGCAAGATCACTACACCACGCACCTCACTATTGCAGATCCCACCTAGGCTGTAGCTCTACCCCTTGCTCCACTGGCAGCAACGGCACTGCCCCATATAGGTGCCTCAAGTCTGACTGCAGCTGAGAAGGCAATTTGCTCTTCCTGACCATCCAGTCCTTGGCCTTTCTGCTGAGACTGCCACTAATTTTAGTTGTTGGACTGGTTTTTGTGATGTGGACTGGATAGGCACTAGGTTGGGATAACCAGTTCATTTCAAAATGGCCACAAACTACCTTGATGTGGTAACCACTTGTGATCACCTTCACTTACTGCTTTTCTTCTATAGACTAAAGAGTCCATATCCCATTAGTAATCTCTTGAATAGTGAAATTCTCTCTGATTCCAGTTTTTAATAGTGAATCTTCCAACTACAATAATTTACAGCATAATGACACTGAATGAAAAAAAATTTAATGTCTTTGCTTAGGGTACTGTACAGGGGTTTAAACATTCCATGGCTATTGTCACAGTATCCGTATTAATTTTCACCTCCCATCAGAATGACATTCTAATATTTTTCAGCTTGCATATAGGTTTGTGTTATTAATAACAAGAATATTTTTGATTGCTACATACTCAGATTGATTATCTCCACATGCCAAAAGTATCACTTATACCCACCAATAATAAATCTATACTTCAGAGCAATAAGAAAGCATTTAATGTGACTGGGATTTTAATATACTTCAGCAATGTGACCTATGTGTATCTTGTGGTATACTTACAGGGGTTGGGACTCCTGCCAACCAGTAAGATTGCTCCATCCTCTTAACCCATTCTGCAAATGCAATTATCAAGGACTTTGGTGATCCTTGCGTTGCTGGTTTCAAGAACCCAAGGGAAAGGGCACAGCCCAACTTGCTGGGGTGGGTTTTTTTGCTCATGGTTTGTAAGAGCATGGTTTGTAAGAGCAAGAAAAAAAGCATATTAATGAATGAGTCTGGCATTTGATATCCTTTGTTTGCAAAGATAACACCCTCCAAAAATGTTTTGTTGTGGCATCTTTGCTTTGTCTGTCCTCAAATTAACTCAAACAGCCTGATCTTATTCCAGCTGAAGTCAAGGGTAGATAAGTTGTTGGATTTAGTGTGAGCAAGATTGTCTGTGATCAGTACTGGTTCTGTCATTATTTTCATATGTTGAATTTTTACAATGTATGTAGTGGTTCAGTAAATAACTGTCAAGCATTTCAGTGTAACTCCCAAAAGTAAATCTGTGAGTGCAGAGGTATTCCACCTATGTAAATGAAGGCATTCTGTATGGCCTCGATAAATATGTACAGTACAAAATATTTAAAGACAAGAAGAATTAAGGTTACTGAGCTAAATGAATATCAAATAAGTTGTACTATTTAAAAAGGGATCAAAAGCTTGTATATGACAATTTATTTGTTAATCCAGTAAAAGGTTTGCCTTTATCTATCTTGCCTGTGTTCTTCAAAACCAGCATAGCTACAAACACTTTGAGATAAATAGCAGAGTGCATTTCCATTTTCAAAGTCAGAGCAATTACAGTTAAAAGGACAAAAGGGAAGAGAGGGGAACAAACTAACTAGAAATCAAAGGAGGTGTAAAGGAAATAGAAAGTCAAGGACAACCCCCCAAAAAGGTGGGGAAGTGCGACTTCTGCCGAACAAAACTAAAGGATGGTGATTAAAGAAAAATGTGAGACATCTTAAATTAATGGTGCAAGTGGATAGAACAAATTTGATGAACAGTGAAAGGAAAGGAAGGCAAGGAGGGATTTTGACTGGACAGAAGGACAAAAAGAATAGCCTTTACAAAGTTTCCTTTAATTTCTTAGTGTGCTGAAAATTAGAGAAACAAGGTGGGTGAGGTCATATCTTTTATTGGACCAACTTCTGCTGGTTAAAAAGACAAGCTTTCAAGCTATGCAGGGCTTTTCTTCAGGTCTAAGAAAGGTACTCAGAGCATCACAGCTAAGTACAAGGTGGAACAGATTATTTAGCATAAATAGTTAACACCTATTTCAAGGGACCATTCAAGGTGAAGTGTCCTCTTAACACTCCTGCACTCATAAAACAAAAAAGGATTGTTGTACTAAGCCATAAATCCAGTGTCTTTAGATTTTTAGTATCTAGTAAAGTTATGAATTTAAGCTTCCAGCCTCATCTTTTGTGTAGGTTTCCTTTGAGGACAAGGACTGAGAGGTCATATATGGAGTGATCATTTTGTGAAAAGTGTTCCCCTATAGGTGATGTGGTATTTTTATATTTTATTGTTTTTCTGAGTGAGTTCATTCAAGAGCATAGTGATTGTCTGGTTTCACTCTCATCATTTTTATTGGGGAATTTAGTACACTGGATGAGGTACACCACATCTTGTGATAGGCATGTGTTGGACATGTTGCTGAAAACGACAGACCGTTTGTATAACAGTGGACTCAATAAGACATGTCTAATTACAGATATAAGAACCTAACTTTTGCCTCCTGTTTTTAAAAAATTTTGTCCTCTGTGTTTCTCCTGCAAGATGTGCTCTGCCTTTTCTGCCTTAGATGTTTGTGAGTTCTCTAGTATCAGTGATGGTTTTAATAGAAACACACAATCCTAAACGGAGGTCTTGGAAGCTAAGTACAATAGGAAATGATCTTTCAGCCATTCTGTCCTTCACCATGAGTGAGAGACAACCTCTTTTATATCTTTTTATTTAAAAAAATATCTTAAATAGAATATCAATATGTCGAATGCCATTTTAAACATAACATATAGTCAAAAAAAGCCAGTGTACATCTATAATGTTATAAGATTCCTATTGTGATGACTGGGACTACAAATTTACTGTAATTGTGAGCTCAGCTGTAAAAAGTGAGTGAAAGTTTATAAAATGTCACAATAATCTATAACAACAAATGTTGATGGGGAAAGGTGCAAAAGGGAGACAGACTTTGAATGAGTCCAAACAAAGAGGCCTGGAACCCCGGGATCTACCATGACACTGTTCAGCCTTACTTGCCCTGATCCTGAGAGATGTACTGACCAGATTGGGTCAGAGAGAGAGGGAGTGGGATCCTGATGATGTCACCTCCTCCACTGGCTCTGGCTAAATCCCAACCATCAACTGGGATGTGAGATTTTGTCATTCCTGCTCATGTGTGTCCTTTTCCTTCACTTTGTTCTCTTTCATATCCCTCTCTTTTCTTCTTGTCTAATAAGAGTCTGCCTTAGCCAGCCAAGACTGGACATTTTGCAACATTGCTGAAACTCTGTGACCAGAGAGGAAACTAAAAGCAATGCTCTAAGTAGCTTTGTGCTGATACGAGTTTGCCAGATCTCAGAGAGGCTAATAAGACTAAATGCCATGCCTGTGTTTTGCCAGTGAGGTTGCAAGTGAAAGTCAATCAGAGACAGAAGCTGCATTTTCTATATTTGCTATTCTTTTCTCTCCCCTTTTGTGTGTATTTGTCTTGTTTTGTCTTCTAGGAAACTGGATCAGACTTCCAACAATATCAATAACATGTCCAGTTCATCTCAGCTAACCTCTTCTCCCCCCCCCCCTAAAAAAGGGACAGTTATTGGTATCTTTAATACTTTACATGTCAAATGCTGAACTGTTTCCTTCTTTTCTGTATCTTTAATAAAGGATTTAACAGATTTGTAATAATGTGTTTGCCATGGTACTAAGCAGGCAGAGATCTCTGACAAGGTCATTTTAACATCTTTGACTCTTTGGGTCCATATATTCCATCGAAGTTAATACAACAGCCCATCTAACAGAGTAAGATACTAATTGGTGTGAGGAAGGGTGTCAAAATCTGGCCCTTAGATCTTTGTAGTCGGGACTGTCCCTTATCTGTGTTTGTACAGGGCCCTGGTGAGAGTTGAGGCCTCTAGGAACTACTGAAATAAAAATAATGACTAATAAGAGAAATCTTTTTTTTTAAAGGTGGAAATTTCCTTTCTTCTGTCAACATGCAAAACGTTAACTAGCAGCCCTGGATTCTTCTCATCAGATGTAGGAGGCCCTAATAACATAGACTCTGTAGATCTCTGTAACTTTCACCAAAACTTGTTTCCTTGATTTCTGAATGTTTGACTGAATATCCTCCAAAAATTCTGTTTTGATGTGGAGAGATTGTAATTTCCCATAGACTTCATGAAGATTTGTGAAGACTACAGTGAGCATGGGTAACAGACCAAGCATTAGGTTTTAAAAATATATTATTTTTTTTATTACAAAGCTAATCTGTTCAATCAACAATTGTTCTCTCATGGGTATTCATGTGGACAGATATATCATCCTCTCTATTTGGAATTTCAATCAAAATCAACCTTTTTGGTGTTCTAGGGGCTGCACAAGTGGCGTATCAGTTTGTACACAGGGTTTTTGTTCTGTCAGATGGCTGATCCTTTTCCAGTGTAGCTGGTCCTTTTGTTTCTAACACAAGCAGCACAGATATACCAGACAGTGCTTTGTCAGTCTGCAGTGACAAAAAGCAAACTGTAAGGAGGCTGAAGGAAAAAAAAAAGTATGAGATTTTGCTTCTGAAGTCAGACAAAAGATTTGCCCCACGTGGGGAATATAAAGGCATTATGCTAAAAAGAACAGCTGAGATGTACATGTCATTTACTTTAATAGATAAAAACAAGTGTTTTTCTGTTTTCCTCTGTCCAAGATCAGAGTAGCAGAGGAAGATCAGTCTCTCTCGCTCATGTTTCATGTCTCATTTTGGTCCATCACATTCTGAAAATGGGTTCCAAGTCTTTTATTATTTTTTAAATTTGTATATACATTTAATTGGTAAAAGCAAAGAGGAACAGCAGACTGCCTAGCTCTCTGTATACAGTAGTTGACTAGTAAGTAGAGGCATGGTGTAGTGGCCTCAACACAGGACTGAGAGCCAATTTCCCCTGAGTTTTAATCCAGGCTAAAATATGGTTTCCCTCTGTGATCTCCAGCAAATCAGAGAATTTAGAGATGGAAAAGTCCTATTCATTTATCTAATCCAGCTCTCTACCAATAGAGGAGTATCCACTAATCTACATTTGCTAGTGTTTTCTCCGGTCTGATATAAAATGTGCCAAAAGATGGAATTTCCACTACTTCACTTGGGAGATTATTATACAGTCTAATAATACATCTAACTGCTAGGATGGTTTTCCATGATGTGGGATAAAGGGCTTCTGAAAGTGTTCTAGCAAATATTGCACTTGCCCATATAATTTAAGATGGTATTTGAAAATGTGACCCATAAATTATAGGTCATCTCATTACAAATATTTTTACATAAAGAAACTGTGGTGCAGGGATATAATAACTTGCCAAAGACATCACAGTGCAAGAGTAGAATCTATATCTCCTTTGGATTTCCAGTCCTTTGTATTATCCATAAGACCATCCTCTTTGCCCATGTTAGATCTGTCCCCCAAAGCATTTTTGAGCTCTTCTAGTACAAGTCATTTGACTTGATAACTGTATTTGTGATCTAATGTTTCAAAGGCCCCAGTCCAGGAATCCACAAATAAGGACTCTTAACACCTGTAGGGGGTCCCATTGAGTCTAGCTTCAGTTTCTACTGGTGCATGTTTTGTCTTAAATATTTATCAACTATTTATTTTTAATTACTTAATCCATCTGTTTGCCATGCAGTTTATCTCACAATAGAACAAATCTGCAGAGAAAATCAGAACCATTAGTGAGTGTAAATTGTATTCATATAGTGGACAACAATATAACAAAATAATTTCCTGCACAAACACAGGAAGTGATGAGATCATTTGTTTGTGTCCTTGAAAATGAAATACTGCATTCTATAGGCTATCCAGAAATGTCTTCAAATACAAATTGATTCTTTTTTCATCAATATACACCTATTAACAGCCTCTGCATAATTTCTAAAATAACTTAGCTTGCCTTCTGCATAAATAAAAATAATATAGCTCCAAAGTCATCTCTGGTAAAACTTCATTGACTACCATTCAATTTGAGCCATTCTGTTTGACTCTTTTGAAATCTTGATCCCTTATCTATTAATGAAGCTGGTACAGTACTGTAGCTAATTTTATTCAAAGATTCAGTTAGTTCTGTGTGGCATTAAGAAAAATAGCCTATTACATTATGGATGGATGGATTACGATGGATGAAAAGATGGATTATGAATTACCATAGCTTCATGTGTTGGTGTATTCATCTACAGTACATAAGGGAACTCAACAGGGTTTATGTCCCATAACGCACCTTTGGCATGGACAGTTACAAATGAGCAAACAATTTTTTGCAGATGTGAAAGTACCTTGTTACCTCTACAATCAATGTAATAGATAATGAAAGATTTAAACAGCACATCTTTGCCACTAAAACCATTGGGGTGTGCAGTAGTGAGAAATGAGCAACAACAATGCTTGGAGGTTGTCTAGGCATTAAAGTAACAGTAGGTTGCTATCTGCACTAAATTCCAGTTGCTACCATTTTAAAATTCTTAAAATTTATCTAGTAATATCATTTAAAATATAAACAATGAAGCTGTTTGCTGAATAAGTCTGCAAGCTGTCAAGTAATGGATGTGGAAGCTTCAGAGGTGAGATACTTTCTCAGTTCTGATACACTAGCTGTGTGGTACAGTATTTGAACCATGCTGTGTTAAGTCATGAGGTGGAGGACAATAAATAAGGTATTGGCTTATTTGGGCTTAATTTCTCACTTTGGATGTGTGTGAAGCTCCTGCTGCAGTCTGTGGGAGTTGCATGTAAGCGTATCTGGGGGCAAAATTTGGTATTTTGCATCATGTGAGAAATTCCAGTAAAGCTTTCAAAAGAAGTGATTTAAATACAAACTGTTGAAGCCATATTGAAATAACTAATATGTGGAGAAGGATCCAGGAAGTTATTAACCACTCAAAAAAGGTTTGCTAGGAGTAGGGGGGATGGGCAGGAGTGGGGGGAGAAGGGTCCCTTGCTCGAACAATAGATCTTGGAGATAGGGCAATGTTAAAAGAGAAGGGTGATGTGTTTTTCAAAGAGTGGGAGATACTGGTTTTGACTGACACTAAGAATTGGAGTGTTTCAGGGTAATGATATTAGGGCAAGGCTATAGGTGACAGTGGTGGCATTGGTGCCCTTCTATCATTAGAATTGAGGTTGGAAGGCTGGGGAGAAAGGGCTGTTGATGACCATGAAGTTCTTCTTCAAGTGATGGTCCCTATTGTATTCCACCAAGGGGATTCAAAATCTGGGCTTCCTGCCCTCGCTTGTTTTCTATCAGTGATGAGCACCGGTGCTGTTTGTACTGTTTGGGGAAATCCCACATCACGTCAAGGTGCAGTATCTTCCTCTCCTTCCCTGTCCGTACATGGGAAAGCTGAGCTCTTTGCCTCAAAAATCACCTAATGGAGGCTGCAATGGGGCCAAAATCGGATCCTGGCCAGGGAATCCCCCCTGTCCATCAGCCTGAGCAACCTAAGAGCGCTCTCCCTACCACGGAAACTCCAGCTGGCTCCGCCAGTACCAGTGCTACAGACCCAATGCAGAGACCTAGCCATGAGTCATGGACGCATGCGCATAAGCATGGCCATAAGTCTTCCTCCAAGTCCAAGAAGGACATTGCCCTGTCAACGAATTCCAGCCATGGAGGAACGAGTTGTTCCAAGGCTCACAAGAGTGAAAAAAGGTAGGCAGGAAGCACAGATTTTGAATCCCCTCAGTGGAATACAGATAAGGATCACGCATCTCAAAGAACCTCCAGTTACAGGTAAGTAACCTGCCCTTTTCATTCCTAGAAAATATAAGGTAGGGGATGAGTTGGATGGAGAGAGAAGTAGAAGCGTTGGTGAGTTCCAGAGAAAAAGAGGGAGAATGAGATTTCTGGGTTTACGTCAGTGGTCAAAATCAAAAGGAAGAACGTAGCAAACTTCTCACCACCCTTAGTGAAGAAATGAATGGAGAAAGAACAGTAACAGGGGTTGGCATTTACACTATTCATCTTCAACTTCCTTTACTAAAAGAAGAAATGCTGGAAGTAGAGTATGAATGAAGTCATATAATAATCTATATTAGTTAAAAAGTCCATGCTGGTTGAACTTGTAGAATACCAATAAACAGTTTTTCTTTGATTTATTTAACCTTTTAAGTAAAACCCAATCAATATATTAAAATTCAGAATGAGAAAAACTCTGGGATTTTGAGATAAAAAGGAAAACCTGGTGAGCTGGAGTAACTTGCTCCTCTCACCCATCCAATTTTGCCCTGAGCTTCAACACACAAGCTTCAGAGATTTTTTTTTATGTCAATTTCCTATAGTTTTGTTTTTTCACATACTATGTAAGTATGTAATCAATCAATCCAGGCTTTTACTGAATGTCCGATGAGACATTACTTGTTTTTTAAGAGCCAGGTTTTTTTAAATTGGAATAAAATTAGATGCCTTTCCAAAGGGTCTTTCTGAGCTCAGCCTTTTGAAATCTCATATAGAATACTATAGTTCTTAAAAATATTACATAGAGAATTCTCAGAGCACATCTGAAAATTTTGCTACAGTCCTAGAGTCTTAAAATTTCACCTGTCTTCCAAGAGATGAGTGTCTTTCTCAGGATTTCACTGTTGTTCCATGGAATTCACCCTCTGAGGCAGGACAGTTTTAAGGCTCCAGGCCTATTCACTTTTGTTTTCCTCCAAGGACCCTTATATAAATATTTGGATTTTGGCACAGTGCTTTCTCTTTATTATTAAAGTGAAATATTTACTGTGACTGTACTGAGTGACAGTCTGCTTTATAGTTACATGCAGTAACAGTTCAACAATGGAGACTAACGGTTGTAAAATTGCCAAGTCTGAGTTAATGTGGTCTTTCCTCTTTTCTTTCCCCCCTCCCGCAGCAGGCACGTATTTGGTATAGGAAGTCTGCTAAGCAGAACAAGCTTCATTTCCCATCTTCAAGGGATTCCCGTTTCACTCCTTCACCAAGCTACATTTCTCACAGTCACAGACCTGCCCCTGATCAAACTAGTGAGCATCTGAACTCAGCTGGTCAAATCAAGCTGCATTGGGCAAATGGCCTTGGTCAGTACCTTGGCATCTCCCAGCAGGACTTGAGAAATGGTGACCGAGGAGACTTCACCCGAAGATCCAGTAGTGCCTCCAGCATTTCATGGTCATTTCAGCGAAGCAAGTCTCTGTTCTGCTTGCCCACAACAAGCTCCTCTCCGGCCTCTGACTCCTTTAACTTTAGTGAACCATTTCAGAATTTAAATACTGGGTCATCTGTGAACAGGTTAAAAACATGGAGATGCAGCCCTAAGCTTAACATTGAGGACTTGGAGGGTTCACAGGAGACTGATGTCGACACAGGGATGAAGCTGTCCTTCTCAGATCTGTCTGTGGTCTCAGCCTACTCTACCTTTAATGGATTTTGCAGTGATTTGGAAGCTACTCTTCCCTCACAAAGGCAAAGTGTCAGTATATCTAAACAGGCTGTCTCCAGGGGAAGGCCGTTGTCAGCCATGTGCAGTACCCTTGAGCTCCCTAGTGGTTCACTTCCATCTCTCTCCGAGTGGTCTTCCAGCTCTTTCTTGTCATCTTCCGCATCCCCTTTAGCATCTCACTGCCAACTCAGACAGTCACCAAGAGCAACCCCTTGTTCTCTGAACGATAGGAAAACAACTGGCAGCATTCATCCAGGCTCTCCAACCAACGAGGAGGAATTCTACATCTGAGCTTTCTCCATGCTGAACCTTTTAATGTAAATTTGTGCGTATGTGAATTACAGCAGTGCATTTCCACCATCTGAGCTGGCAAGTTCCTTGCTTCTTCCTGAGGGGAGGGTGTTACATCATTAAATGTTGTAAATGTTGTAAAAGGTTCCCACACACCACTGTAATGGGTGCCTCATAAATGTGTATTATAATATCAGGTGAGATTGTGTCCACTGGATTCATGTGAAGGGGAACCTCGATGTGTAGCTGTGCAGGTAGGAGGTTTGTGCTCAGTGTCCTTCAGCTCTGGCGAAGGGGGTTTGGGAGACTGACCCTTAGCATGTAGAGCAGGAAGTGCCCAGGGATGCACATGGTAACCCACCTTCCCCTGACAAGTATCTGTAAAGATGCTGAAAAGAAAATACAACCTCAAGCTGCATTAACTTTTCTGAGAAGCTCTCCACGCTGGCAAACCCTTCCCCACCTCCTTTATGAGGTTCCAGAGGCAGCTATGAAAAGGGCCGACCCTAGCAACATGACTCCAGTAGAGCCAGATAAGGAGGCTGAGGGCCCCAGAACCATTGTAGAGGCACAAGCCTCCAGCTGATCTTTGAGAATCTGCAGATTCGGGGAGAGAACGTCCTGTTTGCTCCATGGGGAAGAAGGAACCCGCACCATATCCCCAATCTGATGGACCGGTTTTGGGAAAATGCCAAGAGGGGAACCTTGAGGAGTTTTTTCTCCCCATCTCTCCCTCCTCCCTCCCCCCCAGTCAAAAGTGTTTTTCATCATATGGGAAGGGAGCAGGGCGACTCATTGTTAAAAATCCACTGCAGCTCCCTATTTTTAGGGGTTTGTTATTTTGGTTGTAAAAAATTCACCTCAAACATAAACATAGTATTGGTGGTCCCAGACCAATTTCTGTGTAAAACAAATTTCTTGCCAAACTTGTCTGAATTTTTAATTTATCTAAAGGGAAAAACATGTAGAATTGTACTGGCCTTTTTATCAAGTTACATTTTGGCAAGTTGTTACAGTATAATGTGGCAAGCTGTTATGGTGTAATTACTTTTGATATTTTGGAAAAACGTTTACATGGAGAAGCCATTAGTCTGAGAAATGGCTAAGTACCTTTATAAGGATTTTTACCATCTATTTCAAACTTTTCTGACAATATATCTCTGTGTTAAACACTACTGACACTGATTGTTGTTCTGGTCTAGGCACTAAGAACATTACCTGGTTTAAAGTAGTGTTTACAAATCTGTATTTAATAATAGACAGGTACAGCTACAGAAGATCCACTCTGATCAGTCAGTAAATAAAACTAGGGAGGAAGAATGATCTTGTGTGTATTACTCTGCAGCGTTACTCAGAACAATACTATTCATTTTAAAACAGCCTAAATAAATAGTTACATAAGAGAGTGGAACAGCTCCAAAAACCTCCATTCTAACCCCCAACTAAATATACAGTTTATACTATTCCACTAACCGTCCTTAAAAAAAAAAAGCAGTCTGGAAGAAATAAATATAAAATCATTCTGTTTAAACACCATTAAAGTTGTAACCCAAATCCACAAAAGGCAGGAAATTGACAGTAAAGGCTTGAAGGAATTGGCAGTCAATTCACTGACCCTCCTTTATGCTGTTCGGCATTTTTTGCTTTTTTTCCCCCCACAGTGATAGAGAATGGTGCATCTGCCTCATCTAGAGTTTCCTGCCTGTAGTCAGCTACTGAGACAACATGAACTGCCTGGAAACCTTGTCTTCTGTATTAACTATAAAAATAGGATTTTATTCCAGATCTGGACACCCAGCTGAATATTAGCACTTTCCCCACCACTACCACCCAGAGCTGTTTGGGTTCACTCCAACTTTTGATAAACGACCCTGTTCAGAGATGCTTGGAAGCAGAAACAGCATAAATGAGGGATTTAACATGGTGTTTGAATGTTTACCAACTATCAGCCTGCTCCAAAGCCCATCAAAGTCCGTGGGAGTCTTGGGGTTTAGGTCAGTCAGACTTTTAGGGTATGTCTAAAAATCCTGCAGCATCGAGTCTCAGCGGCTGGGTCAGCTGACTCGGGCTTGTGGGGCTCGGGCTGTGGGGCTAAAAATTGCAGTGTAAACATTCAGACTTCAGCTGGAGCCCAGGCTCTGAGACTCAATACTGCAGTGTCCTTTGCAGCGTCTCAGAACTGTTAGAGCACAGTAGGCCTGATTTGCCACTGTCATGGGCTATATGTAATTATTTACAGCTGGGCAAAATATGTGTAGAACACTACCCGATCAGAATGGTAGCATTTTGCACTCACTTGGCAAATGACTATGCAAGGTGCAAGTCAGTGAAGAATCAGGCCCAATAGGTTTAGACCAGGGGTGGGCAAACTACGGGCCGGAGCCGTTTTAAGCCGGCTCACGAGCTCCCGCTGGGGAGTGGGGTCTGGGGCTTGCCCCGCTCCGGTGCTCAAGCCACGCAGCTCGGCCCCACTACGGCTGGAGTGCTGGATCGGGGGCCGCTCCACACGGCTCCTGGAAGCTGTGGCATAGCCCCGCTCCGGCTTCTAAGTGCTCCAATGGGAGCCGCAGGGGCGGTGCCTGCGGATGGGGGCAGCATGCAGAGCTGCCTGGCCGCACCTGGCTCCACGTAGGAGCCGGAGAAGGGACATGCCACTGCTTCCAGCAGCCACTTGAGGTAAGCACCACTCAGAGCCTGCACCCCTGAGCCTCTCCCCACGCCCCTTCCCCAGCCCTGATCCCCCTCCCACTCTCCAAACCCCTCAACCCCAGCCCAGAGCACCCCCATGCACCCCAAACCTCTCATCCACAGCCCCACCCCAGAGCCCGCACCCCCAGTGAGAACCTGCAGCTCTTCCCACACCTCTGCCCCAGCCCTGAGTCCCCCTCCCGCCTTCCAAACCCCTTGGTCCCAGCCCTGAGCACCCTCCTACATCCCAAACTCCTCATCCGCAGCCCCACCCCAGAGCTCGCACTCCCAATCAGAGCCCTCATCCCCTCCCGCACCCCAACCCCAATATTGTGAGCATTCATGGCCCGCCATACAATTTCTATTCCCTGATGTGGCCCTCAGGCCCACCCCTGGTTTAGACTAACGGCACAATATTCTTCTCTAAAATTTGTGGTGGCACAAAGATAAATGATGAAATAACATTGTGAAGCCATTTTACCAACACTAGCCATTTTCAGATATGACAATAAACAGGAAAGAATTGGTTCACCCTTGTCAAAAAAAGTGTTTTATCATTCATTATTTGGGAAAAGGCATATTCAAAATATTTATAATACTTATAAAAAGTCGTCAAAACATGGAATCAGAAGATCTTCAGAGAACTGACTTCAGCTGACATGTCTATTCGTTCCTGGAACCATGTCAGCGTTCAGACTCCTGACGGAAGCTGACTTGTTCTACTACTGGAGAGAAGACTTGGAAATATCTGTCAATCTACAGCGTGCCTTATGACTGGAGTTCAGCATAGCTGAATGCAATAGCCTGGCTTTATCAGAAGTATTGATGATGTTGAAAGGCTGCAAATTAGCACAAGATAGCAAATTACCAAGTAGCAACTAATGTTAATATACGGGAATGGGAACATCTAAACTCCAGACTGTATCACGTAAACCAATAAAGGAAGGAAGCCAAATTAATTTCAACAGACTCAGAAGAGAGAATTTATATTGTCTCAGATGGTTCTGTTCTTCCAAGTACTTCTACCCTGTTTACTGATATTTAACTAGAAAATAATGTTCTAATTTTTTAAGTTCTGTATGAATAATTCATGGGGTGTGTAACAAAATTGTGGAATCACAAAATGCTCCACTGAGAGGAAACGGAATAATATTATTGTACTGAAACCTTTTATGTTATAAAAATAAAAGCCAGCTTTTCAAGAGTGTTTCAATTAAAATAAGTGTCATTAGTTCCCTTTTCTATAATTTAAAAGGGAGTTGAACTTATCCAGATGACTGGAGATGCACAAGGTTCATGCTATGGCATTTTGCTTATGTATCATATAACTGTTGTTATATTATGAACAGGATCAGTAGAAAATTGCAGATTTCCCCTTAACTTCCTCTCTTCTCCCATGCCAGCATATGTTGCTTTTATCAAATAAAATATAGAAAGAAAGTTAATTGTATTTAAACTTCTGTGTGTTCATTTATTAAACACAGTGGAGTCATATTGGTTACTTTAGTGAGGCCTTCCTCAGATTTCAAAAGATCACTGTATCAGACATAAGCACATCACTTCTGGGCAATGTTGATCAAAGGAGCAAATATAAAATAAACACAGCCCTAAATACAAGAGATGTCTCTTATTTTAGACTCAGATTTACCTCTACAAACAGGTCTTATTTCTCTTTTCTTATTGCAAATTATTTATCCCAAAAGCTAAATGATTAACAGAGGATATGAAAAATTCTACATACATGAATCCAACTTAATTTTGTCTCCTGTATTAGAATCATAGAAACGTAGGGCTGGAAGGGGCCTTGAGAGGTCATCAGATCCAGCCCCCTGTGTTGAGACAGGCCCAAATAAACCTAGACCATCCCTGACAGGTGTTTGTCTAACCTGTTCTGAAAAATCTCCAATGATGAGGATTTCACAAACTCCCTTACAAGCCTGTTCCAGTGCTTACCTATCCTTACAGTTAGAATTTGTTCCTATTATCTAAACTAAATCACACTTTCTGTAAATTAACCTCATTATTTCTTGTCCTGCTTTCAGTGGATTTGGAGAATAATTGATCACTGTCCCCTTTATAACAGCCATTAACATATCTGCAGTGGTTCCCTCCCCCGTTTCTTTTCTCAGGACTGAGCATGCCCAGGTTTTTTAACCTTTCCTCATAGGTCAGGTTTTCTAAACCTTTTAGCATTTTTGTCGCTCTCTTCTGAAGGCTCACCAGTTTGTCCCAAACTGTGGTGTCCAGAACTGGACACAATACTTTAGCTGAGGCCTCACCATTGCTGAGTAGCACGGGACAATTACCTGCCATGTCTTACAGATGACACTCCTGTTAATGCACACCAGAGTGATATTAGCCTTTTTTTGCAGCTGCATCACATTGTCCACTCATATTCAGTTTGTGTGCCACCATAACCCCCAGATCCTTTCCAGCAGTATTACCACCTAGGCAGTTATTCCACATTTTGTAGCTACATGTTTGATGTTTTCCTTCCTAAGAGTAGTATTTATCCCAGTAAAGCTAAATGACTAACAGAGGATATGAAAAATTCTACATACATGAATCCAACTTAATTTTGTCTCCTGTATTAGAATCATAGAAATGTAGGGCTGGAAGGGACCTTAAGAGGTCTATATTGTTTATATTGAATTTCATCTTGTTGCTTTCAGACCAATTCTCAAATTTGTCAAGCTCATTTTAAAATCTAATCCTGTCTGCCAGAGTGCTTGCAGCCCTTCTGAGCTTGATGTTATCTGAAGATTTTATAAGCCTTTTATAAGCATAATCTCTACTCCATCGTCTAGATCATTAATGAAAATATTGAATAGTACTGGACCTAGAATAGACCCCCTGCAGGCCTCCCACTAGATGCATACCTCCAGTTTGACAATGAACCATTCATAACTACTCTTTCAGTACAGTCTTTCAACTGGTTTTGCACCCACTTTACAGTAATTTCAGCTAATCTTTTTTTAAATCCGTTGTCCTTATTCTGCTGCGCTCACTCCTTCCTTGTCTTAGAATCATGAACTCTATCATTTCATGATCATTTTCACCTAAATTGACTTCAACCTTCTGATTTGCAACCAATTCCTCCCTGTTGGTCAGAGTGATGACACTTTTTTTAATATGGCCTTCATTTTTTTGTCTTTGTCCCACAATTACACTATGACTATCTCTTTCTATCTGTCTATAGCCACTCATCATCATGGGATCTGAGTGCATCCCAGAATTCCACAGTATACACAAAGATATGTAGGGAGTTTTACTGTATTTTATAGTTTAACATTGTGCCACTGTAGATGTTTTGCATTCTGCTCCGAAGGTGCTGAGGTTCATGGTCATCCTGATCTCTTGGGGTTGATTTTCAGATCTGGTGTCCTGCACTCTTGAACCTGACATTGGTCCAGAGGAATGTAGCTGTTGTGGTCATAGAACCATAGGCCTGGAAGGAACCTCGAGAGGTCATCTAGTCCAGTCCCCTGCACTCATGGTTTCGAATAGTTCAGTGGGGCATAATTAGTGGCTGCTGCTATGGTGGAGGAAAGATAGGATTTCTTTGTTTCTTTCATCACCAGGGCATAGGCTCTCAAGAATTCCTTGTGCCTGATTGTTTCCTCCTGCCGGCTCAATTTTTTTTTTCCTTCCTGTTTTTACACAGTTCATCAGAGACATGGAGTTCTGTGGTGGCAGTCTGGAGGGAGTGTCAAAACAGGGATTGGCACCACCATGTTGCGTGACGGACATTTGACAAAATTACTGTACTTAGTGACGGACATTGGGGGTGAGAGGGGTTATGCCATTCAGTCATTCAATTTTCTGAAAAATTACCGTGGACCTCAACTTTTTT